GGCTCCATGTAGGCGACTGGTTGGCTGGCCCTGCCGGCTTGTGACTCTCTGCTTGGGCTGTCAGTAAGTCCAGACGAACTTTCGGCTGATAGGCCAGAAGCATTTCTGCTGGAGACTTGGGACGTCCACCCGATGGCATTCTACGGTGCATCTATAGCCATCTCGCCAAGCGAGTTGTGAGGGACCCACCAGACACCCTCTTTAGTCCTTCCTTCACCGAGCGCACGGCCCTTTCTGCCAGGCCGTTAGACTGGGGTTGGAACGGTGCGGTACTTATGTGACGTATTCCATTGTTTCTTGACGAAGTCCTGGAATTCGGCTCCTGTGAATGAAGTACCATTGTCCGACACCAAACATGTGGGCAGGCCAAATCGAGCAAAGGTGGTTCTGAGCAGTTCCACTGTCGTTGCCGATGTCGCTGTTGTCGTTGGCAATGCCTCTATCCAGCCAGAAAGACTGTCGACCACTGCCAGGATCATCTTCCCCTCTACTGGTCCGGCATAATCCACGTGAACTCTTGTCCACGGCTGTTTAGTTGCTGGCCATGCCAGTGGCTCCCTACTCGGTGGCATGGGAGCCGCCTGTTGGCACACTGAGCACCGGTGAAGCAACTCTTCCACCTCACGGTCAATGCCTGGCCACCAGACGAGCGTGCGTGCCAGTGCCTTAGTTGCATTGACTCCCATGTGACTATCATGAAGCTCCAATAGAAATTCCCTCCGTGCACATTCTGGAATCACCACTCTTCCACCCATGCAGATGAGGGCCCCTTCCAGCGTGAGTGCATTACGATGATGCCAGTATGGCTGAAGGCGACTGTCCAAAAGCCTTTTTGGCCAACCTCTGCTGATCGTGTCTCGTAGGCTCTGCATGGTTGGGTCCTTCCCCGTCAGGTCTTCTAGCTGTCGTCTCGACACTGATCTTGCGTCCAACATGTCCACTGTGAAGACCCCCATATCTTGGGCCTCTTCGGTTTCTGCTGCATCTGGGGCAGTTGCCACCGGCAGACGACTGAGAGCGTCTGCGTTCAGGTTTTGTGACCCAGGCTTGTACTTGATCACATACTTATACGCTCCAAGCGATAGTGCCCACCTCTGGATGCGTGCCGCAGCCATGCTTAGAATCGATTTGCTTTCTTTGAACAATTCCACCAAGGGTTGGTGGTCCGTCTTTAGGGTGAAGCTCCTGCAGAGAAGGTAATCCCTAAACTTTGTTACCCCAAAAATGAGTGCAAGCGCTTCCTTCTCTAGCTGCGAATAGTTCTTCTCAGCCTTGGTAAGGGTTCTTGACCGGAAAGCAATAGGCCTGTCGACACCATTCACGCAGTGAGACAGCACTGCTCATAGGCCTTCTGGTGACGCATCACACTCCAAGATGAGTTCCCTACTTGGGTCATAGTGCACAAGAAGGTTGGACTTCTGCAAGGTTGTTTTCACCCCGTCGAATGCAGCCTGTCCTTCTGTTCCCCATTTCCATTTCACCTCACTCCTCAGCAGGTTGTGGAGCGGAGCAAGAAGTGTAGAGATCCTAGGCAGGAAACTCCTGTAGTATGTGATGAGTCCCAAAAAGGACCGAAGTTTTTGGAGGTTGCGAGGTGCAGGAGCCTTCACGATGGCCTCCACTTTCTTTTCTGATAGATGCAGCCCATGTCGGTCGATCCTATGTCCGAGGTGGGTAACCTCCTCTTCACCAAACACACATTTTTCTTCCCGCAGTCGGATGCCATTTTCCCTGAATCTCTGCAGAACCTTCCGCAAAGTCTGCCCGAATTCGTCTTTGCCCTCTGCCACCAAGACATCATCCAAGAAAACCTGCGTTCCCGGAATGTCCTTCAACAACGCCTCCATTTTCCTTTGGAAGATCGCTGGTGCTGAAGCGATGCCGTATGGCAGCCGGTTCTAGCAGAAGAGACCCTTGTGGGTGTTGAGCACTGCTGCCTGTCTGGATTCTTCATCTAAGGCCACGTGGCAGTAGGCTTCCCGAAGATCCAATTTCGAGAAGCAATGACCATCCTTCAGAGACGCAAAGATGTCCTCCACTTTGGGAAGTGGGTATTGTTCGATGCCGCATGCAATGTTCAGGGTTACTTTAAAGTGCCCACAGATCCTGAGACCTCCATTGGCCTTGGTCACTGGCACTACTGGCGTTGCCCACTCACTGTGGGATACCGGAGACAATATCCCCTCTTTGCACATTCGGTCCAGTTCTTCTCCCACCCTGTCACGTAGGGCATAGGGAAGGGACCGGGCCTTGCAGAACTTGGGGTTTATCTCTTTCTTTAAGTTGATGTGGGCCGCAGGTCCCTTCATCAACCCCGTCCCCGGCTGGAAGAGATCCTTGAAGTCTTCTTTCAGCTTCTTGACCGTGTCCTGCACTTGGTTGTCACTTGTTTGCATGCTCCCGATTAGATCCTCTTCCAGGAGGTTCAACGCTTGGATGACGTCTCGACCACACAAGGATGGACCCGTACAATCCACAACGTACAGTTGTCCTTGCACTTGTTTGTCTCCACGCCTTACTGGCATCGCCAGGACTCCCAGCACTGGTAGTTTCCCCAGGTAGCAGTGGAGCTCCTTGGTAGTTTCCTGTAGGGGTGGCCAAACCTTAGCATTCTTGGAGTATGTGTCCCTAGAAATCACGCACACAGGGGAGCCAGTGTCAACCTGCATGGTCACCTCTACTGTTCCCCGCTGGAGCACTTCGTTGACTGGACCAACCGTAGCTTTTGGAGAGTGCACTGTGAACAAGTGGAAAGCCTCCTCTGCCTGTCCTAGCTGTGCTGTGCTTCTTCCGTGATCAGGTTGTCCTGCTGCTTCTTTCGGTTGACCGCCGGTGTCGACTGAGTGCGAAAGCACCGGCTCGCCAAATGTCCCTGCTTGTTACACGTGAAGCACGTCGTTTTCTTGTGCGGACAGTTCGGCGGGTCATGAGAGCTGTCTCCGAAACGAATGCAGGGCTGCGCAGTCTTTGTCCCAGACGTTTTCTGCTGACGTTCCTTGTGCTTCTTAAACCGCAAGGCATTCACGTTCCCCGCAGTAGTGGGTAGCGAACTTGAGCCGGGAAGCCGGTCGGCATTCCGCATTGCTAACTCCGCGGCCAACGCTGTGTCCAGCGCCTCTTTGAGCGTACGTTTCTTTGGTTTCGCCAGGAGGATCTTAAGTTGCGCTCTAGTGCGTCCCCAAAACCGCAGTGGTCTGCGATTCTCCGTAATTCGGCCAGGTAGTCCGCGACGCTTTCTCCCTCATTTTGCACTCGTGACTGGAACCTGAACGTCTCGTAGATCTCGAACGGTTCCGGACTGAGGTGCTGCGTAAGCACTTTCACAATCGTGTCGAAGGTTTCGTCTCGCGGTTTGTGTGGCACCACCAAGCTCCGCAGTCGTGCGTAGACCTCCGGGCTGAGAGCGGATATTAGGATCGAACGTTTCCTACCGTCGTCCTTCACCCCGCTGGCGTCGAAGTACGTCTCCAGTTGCTCCACGTAGTTCGTCCAATTCTCCACCGCCGGGTCATACTGGATCGGCGCGGCGTAGAGGGCTTGAGCTTGCGCCATGGCGGCCACCGCTTCTCCTTTGTTCCCGGGTCCCACCGACGCACCGACTAACACCACTTGACGTTCACGTACCGGCGTTTGGTTGTCCTCTCCTTATCGAGCCTCGTCGCCATTGTTAGAGCGTCAGGAAACACAACGCTTTGTAACTCGGGTTCTTTATAGGAGATGAGAAACGTGAATACATTGTTAGGGTACAGGTTTCAGACGTCCGACCCTAGTCGGCATGATGGCGTCGCGGGGACGACCGTTGCTCCTTTGCCGGAAGAAGGCTGACGGCTCTCGCCAGGGTTGCCGCTTCCTGCCGCAACACAAACAAACCGGAGTAGGACGCACAAGCTTTCGGCGTCCTACACCGATGTGTTTTGGAGTTCGCCAAATACAACCAAAGCCAGGAAAGCTGCGCCGGTAGTGGGCTGGAAGTTCCGTCCCTGTTCGAATTTCATTCGACGGCGATGGTATTATATACTCTATTTCACGCCAAGTCAAACTGCAGCCTACGCCACGACACGATGGAGCCAATAAATCGGCGCCATAAGTGCACTCTCACGGCGCTCATCGTCTTTGCAGGTTTGCCATTACCGGCTATGTGTTTTGTACCGGCGCCGCCGGATGGTGGACTAAGCAGCCGATGCCGCGAGCCTCGCGACAATCGCGTGCCAGCGGCAGCTCGGGCACTTGTTCTTGGACCGAGAACCGCGGTGGACGCACCGTCCTGACTACAGTGTACACTCTCAAGAAAAAAGGGTGTCAAAAGGTGCATTCTTACACCCTTTGTCCTATATAATACACCCCAGAATTTAAATTCGACGTACAGTGCCCTACAGTCGAACAGAGGGCCCGAAATTTTACGAGGGGCTTGATAGCCGTATGGTACAAAATTTTAAATAAATAAAGTACGCATTAAAGACTACATAAAGAAAACACCGAGTTTTTACAGTAGGGCAAAGAAACCCGGATTATTTTTTTCGTGTTCAGTAAAGCGTACATTAGCTATTTTAACAAGTTGTACCACACGGCTATCAAGCCCCTCGTAAAAGTTCGGGCCGTCTGTTCGACTGTAGGGCGCTGTACGTCGAATTGAAGTTTGGGGTGTACTATATGAGACAAAGGGCGCAAGTATACACCTTCTGACACCCTTTTTTCTTGAGAGTGTAGTCCAGACTGTAACGCTGGCAGTAAAGCTTGTATTTATCACTAAGCCAATCATGCATAAAACAAAACAAAAAAAACGCGGGATTGATCACGTCCCAATCACCATGCGCGATTGGTTTAGCCGAACCTCCAAGGAAACGATAAGCGACGTGCCGATGCACTTCTGGAGCCGTTCGATTGCATGTATTATATCCAGGCGTCCACTGCGCTCGGATTACACAACGAAACGGAGTATGCATTACCCTCGAACTAAAAGTTTGATCATGCGTTCGGTTTTATTTGCGCACGTGCTGCAGGTGACCATTTGGTCCCTGAACGATAAAGCTCCCTACCTGAAGTACGCGCTGGAAGTAACCCCGGTCCTGGTGAAATTTTACGAAGAACTCTTTGGCATTTCGTACCCTCTTCCAAAGTTGAGTAAGTATACTTCCAGTACGGTTTTATTAGAACGTTGAACTGTTTTGATCTAGCCCAGATGACTCGTAGAGATTGGGCAGCTGTGTGTGTTGTGTGTGTGGAAAAGAAGAGCAGCGTCACTGTCGTCGCTTTGAATATACCGGGTGATTTTTTAATGCGAAAGCATTAACTGTCCCATGGAGTGAGCCGACATAATCAATTTGAAGCGCGAAAACGGCACCTAGTTTCCCTGACCCCAAGGTCCCATTGGCTGGCGCGTGGCGACGAGGCTCCCATTGGCCACTGCGCGGATCAGTTTCAACGAGCGCCACCAGATGGCGCGGCGTGTCCGTGCCCCCAGCGCGCCGATAAAACTAACCGCCGCAACCCCGTGCCACTACGGGCCCCGCGGCGGTTAAAACGAACACGTTGGCGCGCTCTGGGAGGCTTCTGCTCGTCTCGCCGCCGACCAACATGCAGGCGCCTCCATCATCCACATCGTCGCCGGTGCTTCTGCCACAACTCGAAAACATTACTCGCGCCACAAAGCTCCACGGATCACTCTGCGGCGTTCCATTGGACATTCCTGCTTTCGCATTCACAACTCATAAGTGCTTAACTGTCTTACGACTTTTTTTTTTTTCGAACAGATTTATTACGAAAAGTCCGTAAAAGATGCACTAATACGGTTTGTGCAGGTAAGTTATGCGGCCAGCGGGACACATATATGGGTGGTTAATATTCGCGATAAGTCGGCTAGTTAATTAAAATTCATTATTTAACGTTTTCATTAGTGAAAATAGAGATATGGTTCCAATTAGAAACTTAACAGCGTTATCAAAAACCACTAAATCAACTTGTTTTAGAACGACTTGAAGCTCGTGGGAAACTCGGGAGCGCGCCAAAGTTACAACTCGTGAAGCAGGCGCAAAGTTAACAGCGGCGGAACGCGGATGATTCGATCATTATCGCGTTTCGACACTCCTACCTCTGCGCCTGCCTCACGAGTGGTAACCTTGGTGAGCCCTGGAGTTTCTCACGAGCTTCAACTCGTTCTAACAAGAGTTGATTTAGTGGTTTTCGACGACGCACTCTAAGTTTCTAATTGGAACCATATGCCTATTTTCATTAATTAAAAAGATAATCGACGAATTCTAGTTAATTAGCCGACTTATCGCAAAGATTAGCCACCCACATAATCTCCCCCTGGCCGTATAACTTACCTGCACAAACCGTATTAGTGCATCTTTTTACGGACCTTTTGTATTAAATGTGTTCTTATTAAAAAAAACTCACCTTATATATATATATATATATATGGTGCATTATGGGAGTGTTACAGCGCTCGTTCTATCGTCCAGCTTTGTAGTAGAAAAACATTCAAGCAACACAAATTTGCGTGATGATAATATTCCGGTGCTAGCTCGCTCATTAAGAAAGACGGAAACTCCTTCAATAACTAAGCGATGGTAAAAAGCCGACTTTGCTCCACCGTGCGGAGACTTTTGCTACATCATCGAGTAAATGTCTATATGAGAGAGAACCCGGCAGGTGGCATCCCTGTCGTTTTGTAGCGCTGGGTAGGTGGTGCAAGCCGCCGTCCTGTTCAAAAAAAAAAGCTCATCGGTATTGAGTCAGCCATCCATCATTCATGTTACACGTTCATACCAAGCTCCTCGGCGATCTGGGACGGGACACAAACACGCGCACGCGCACACACACACACGCACACACACATACACAAACACACACACGCACGCGCGCGCACACACGCACGCACGCACACACACACACACACACACACGTTTCAAATGGGGCTTCAGAAATTATGAGAACATTCTGTACCCATTCTAGACAAATAATGAAAGTGGAAAAGCCTAATGAATACAAACGAGAATATTGAATGTTCTGACTAGAGGAGCTATAGATACTCGAAAGAATTTATCAGTTAAGTTTCGTCAGCAATGTAAGCCTCTTTTTACCTCACAATAGGGGATTCCGATTTGTTTTCAGAACCGTCTGAAAGTCCGTTAATAATTTTAGGAGTGTGTATTTTTTTCTCAGCGGTGGCCGCTAAAATCCTAACTTCGTGTTTTTACGATCCTGTTTTTGGACGTTTCAACAAATGCAGGTTAACCTAACACAAAACAATGGGCAAACCTGGCATACTTGAAATTTCAATAAAGGGTTTCAGCAGCAGCAGGCTAATAAAATATGTCCGCATAAAATTTGTTCGCACTGCCACGCCCTGCGAGACAATTTAAAGGAGTTATTCAATTAAATGCAGCATCACAATCTTATGAATTATCATGCTGAACTGCGAAGACAACAAAAATGCCTTCTTAAAACAAGAATTTCAAGTTGTTCGATGCTTAGTTTTCACCGGATACCTCGTACTTACTAAAAATTGAACTTTCGAAAATGTGGGAGCATCGTTCTTCTAAAAAAAAAAAAAAAACGTTAGTCATAACATATTTTGTTTTATAATGCAAAAAGTCTGAAAGACGTCGCATCGATTGTGGGTGCGTCATGTGACTTCAAACTTTCCCATAGCCAGATCGTTAGAAGCCGACGGCTGATATAAATATAAAGCGAGCATAAAAAGGAAAGCGGCTGGAAAGGTGCATAATACATATCCGAGAAAACAAAGCAAATAACTTAGGTTAAACAAGGCCAGCTCTATTTCGTAGTGCTATTTACCGATCCTCATAGTTATATTTTCCTAAGTTAGATATACCTGTTTTGTAATTTTTTTTCTTTGTATTTGTTTTTAATGTTACGTGAACCATGAACCGGTGTATACCTCTATTCTACTATTTATTATTGCCACTGACTTTTATTTTTATTTATTCGATGCATCAAGTTTCCTCATTCAATAATCTTTTAAGACATTTATTGTCAATAACACCGTTCGTAAAAAAACAGTATTCGACTGTGATGATGATCAATATCTCTAATATTGTGCCCTATACCAAGTGGCGCAAACACTTTCTAAAGCCGAGAACTTACTTTTATCTATCTCGAATCGTGGTATTTTGATGGCCATTACAAAAGTGCAAGGAAATTTAAACAAAGTGAGCGCATATTAGTTTTGAAACATGCTTCAATAATTAGGCCTTCGTTTTTTATCTACGTTGGGATTTATATTTCATTATTTAATATGGCTTGCGCAAATAAAAAAATTATTGTGATATTTAATATTTTTTTCCTCGTGTCCACTTAGTCGTTTTCTGTGAGATTCTCGGAATGTTCGTAAATTTCGAGGCGTCGCTACGGTAGGAAACAAAACTCTTTGCAATATGAAAACTAAAACGAGCATCCCCAACTTTTCTGGACATCAACGCCTCCGCACATGCACTGAACTCATAATGTCAACTGAACAAATATCGCAATGTTCCCTGGGAATATTTAAGGTTACCGTCATGAAATATCAATAGGTAGTAATTAAACCTCTGGACGTGTATATTTTCTTATTCCTCGGCTTTGCGATTTCTTTTTCCATTGACTGTTATGGGCCACGTTCACAAAATTTTAAATTTCTGGTTGTCTTGAAAAGAGGTAGTGATGTTCCCAAGGACGGCAATTGCCAAACTATCCTGGAACGCAAACCAATTAGAATTTTGATATTTATGACAACATTCTATTCCACGGAATGTCCCAAAAAGTCATCCATGTTCATGGTTATTTTGGGCGTTTTACTTTGCGTTTTCAAATTAAAACAATGACTATACAATTGCTTTATAAAATTCGAATATGATCGGCAGAGGAAGACACTTCACATGCTTAGGAAGAAATTGCAGTGAGTCGTATACATCATACTAATGCCAGCTTCTTATTTATGTTTAACCTAAGGAAAGTAAATCCCCAAGTACATATGATCACCGTTTTAATGAATTGCGTTGTTGCACAGACATGATCTCGCTTCCCTCGTTCCTGGCGGACGCCATGGAGAACTGGGGTCTGCTCACGTTCCACGAGCAATGTCTCATCTTCGACGAAACCACCACGCCCCACAAGAAGCCCCTGATCGTGGGCCTCATCGCCCATGAAGTCGCTCATCAGGTGAGCGGGATTTATAGTTTATAACTGACATCGAATATCGGCAACGAGACCAGAAAGTCATATTTTCATTTTCATATAAATTCCTCCGTGTGACAGACATGTGCTGCTGAACTATAGTCGGTGGTCATCGTTTACGGGAAAATCGTCGTTGGGAATCGTGCCAGAGCTCTAAATCTGATAATACTCTTACTAGATAGCATAATCCACCGCCCAGTTTAATACTCATTCTCTCACCCGTCATTTAACAACTAGTTTGTGGCTTCAAGCATATTTAAACTTTAGGTACAATTTTCAGTTTATTATGTGCTAACCTTATAAGTTGCCTTTAATTTTAGTGACGGCTTGGTAACATTTTTGCAGTATCTTGTGACTTAGTTCAGTTACAGTTGCTTCGCAAAATTGTGTTGAAATATATCCAAATTCATGTTTATCCAGTCTCCACATCAGTGTTATATATGAGCTCACTATCTCCAACTTTGCTCTAAGCGAAAAAGAAACAGATGGATGGTACCAATATAATTTTTTGGGGGGAAACTTAACAGTTTGTTAGCAAGCGCAGCATGACTCGACGCCAGTAACTGAAACGTGAAAGAGTTTATTTTTATGAGTAAATGTATTCAGATACATTATTTATAATTGAACTATCGTGAAACTAACCACCACTAAACTTATAAAATCGTAACTAACTAAATTATTGTTTTTAAGGTAATACTGACAGCTCTAATTCGGGCTCCTGCTAATGTGCGCTCTTGCGAGTTATTTGCAATTTATAACATGTTCACAGAAAAAGAAGAAACCAAAGTTATATTCTATAATTGACGCCATTGGTGCAAGCCGAATCAAAGTTATTGTGCAGTGAACATCTCACATTTGTTGTATCAGTCTGTGTATGAGTTGCATCCATTTATGTCGTCGCGTCCTGAATCTTACCCGCGTTCTGGAGACGCGCATGTATACGTATATGCTGATGTCGACGCCGGCACTGTTCGCTTTAGTTTGGACACATAATGGTATCAATGCGTCTAGTAGAATTTTAATGCTTGAATTTAATGCTTTAATGTCTGTGGATTCAGCAGCAAAGTAGAAAGGGCTGATCATAGATGGTTCCCAATGAGTTAAATTTGTAAGTGCATGATTGCCACATAACCGTACACAATGCCATTTAGGACAAGATTTTGTTCTGTGTGGGAGAAACACGAAAGCTACCGATTTTATAATTGTGCAAGCGTCACCCCTGCAATGCATCATGTTGTGACACCCGCTCCGCTCCGACAGTGGTTCGGCGACCTGGTAACCATGGACTGGTGGGGCGACGTGTGGCTCAACGAGGGATTCGCTACTTACATGCAGTACACTGGAGCCCACTTCCTTGAGCATCAGTGGGAAATGGTAATGGCTGCTCAAACCCTAACGCACTTTTTTAAGAGGGAGACAGGGGCGGGGGGGGGGGGGGGGGGGGGAGGGGAGGGACGGTATGCAAAAGTTTGCTGCAATTGAGGATTCCAAAGGGTAAAATATTTCTTGCTCGTGTTTGTTTTAATTTAAAAGGTTAAAACAGCGCATAAAAACGACACACTGGATGAAGGAGGACACAGACAGAGCGCTCTGTCTGTGTCCTCCTTCACCCAGTCCGTCGTTTTTCCTATTTATTTTTTTGCGCTGTTTTAACCATTTAAGCATGTTGTACCAACTCGCCCAAGCTTCGTCTTGGGTATATCATGAGTACAACAGTTCTTACTAACATTTGTATTACTTATTTTAGAGTATTCAGGAGGTCGGGTAGGGTAGGGTAGGGTATTGCCGAGTTTCGTCGGCTCGGGTCACGTCGGGTCGCGTCGGGTCGGGTCGCGTTCGGTCGGGTGAGGTCGGGTCAGGTCTCGGATGGTCGAGTAACATCTAGCCAGTGCGTGTCGGACTGGGTAGGGTCGGGTCGGTTGGGCCGGGTCGAATGGGTCGAATTTGATCAAGGCGGGTCTTGTCCGGTCTGGTACTGTCGGGAAAGGACGTGTCAGGTCGAGTGTTTTCTAAATATCGAAAGTAACTCATTTGCTTTATAAAATGAGTTATGAACTTTCGAGGGTTACTTCTTGAGAATGTATAGACGCTTTGCAGCAGCTGTGCATGGACGCCGCCATAACTGACCTTCAGTTTTTGTTTCCTCTTATTCCGTTTATTTCACTTCATTATTACCATAGCAGGCCAGGTTATTGCCATATTAGATACAACTCTGTTCTTTTCTAAAGCATCTGCCTTTGTAGACGATCGTCAACTACCGTTTCGGTTGCTCGGCGTCTCGGTAAGACAAGAGAAGGTCACTTATGGCGGCTGTAATTTGGCGCGTGTGTAAAGCGTCTATATCATTATAAGGGCGCTCAGCGCGGACGGTTAACGCAGAGTTACATTATTATTTCAGATGGACCTATTCGTGGTGAACGAAATGCAGCCCATCTTGAAAGCGGAGTCGACCACAAAAATGTATCCAGTGTCCGTCGACACAAATTCAACGGGCCACCTCGATAAATTGTTCGATAAAATCCTGTACAGCAAGGTAACAACGTTAGCTTACCCGGGAAGGGACGAGGTTTGGAGTATCTGCAGCACGACTCAAACAAATTATGTCTACCTTTCCCCGCGCCCTACAGTACCACGATATTGTCCACCATCTTTTACCAATAACCACAACCGCAACGCATTCGCGAAGCTCATTTTTCGGGGTCCACATGGCGTATCTCTGTGCATTGAGAGAGGTAGTGTCTTTAAAAAAAAAAGTGGCGGCTGAAAACCACCTTTATTTTCTGTTTCGACGCACCAGAAGAGGTTTATACTTCTAGAAAGAATCACATGGGAGTTTTATCTCAAAAACTTTAATTGTCATACTTGTAGGAGACGGTGCACTTCCTTAACGGGCTGTACCATCTACCGTGAGAGGCTACATTATCGAGGGACTTAAGTTTTTAACAAATTGTGGTGTCATGCTTCGCGAAACCGACGCTTTTTTTATGCTTACAGAAATGCTTGTCCCGATTTTCCCTGGGACTCCTACTGTTACGTAACCGTCTATTTTTTCTTCATGATGCAGGCATCGAGCCTTATTAGAATGATGGCTCACTTCTTGACTCCGGAAGTGTTTCTTGCGGGTATGAAGGTACGGATCTTCCTATTTTATCTTCACTGTTCAAGACCCTTCGTTTAGCGTGTATTTATGGGAACTCATTTGTCTTAGAGCATACGTGGGAATAGCGTAGAGAAGAGGCTAAAATGTTCCTTTCGTTTTGGAAAATATTGGACATGACCTATTCACTTTGGCTACTTGATTGTTTCTTTGATAGATTAGACTTTAAACGTTCCATTTAATTTTGTTTTTCATCAGGTTGTGAAGCCATTAGTACTAAGAGTAATTTATCCACGATATAGAGTCACGGAGACCTCAAATTATTTATACTTTATCTATTCCGCTGTACTTGAGAAACATACAAAGGGATCCCAGTTTTTGGTAATATTCCGCAAGTTTCAGTTTGTCACAAAACGTCGTTTTCTTAGGGGCTGCACATAATTTACAAATCCTATGTCCAGCTTCTTAGCTAACGTTTCAAGAAAGGTGGGTTTAGATTACCCTTGAAAAATGTGCAGGTTAACCCTTGTACTGGCCCCTCTGAACTTGTATATATTACCTTATTTATGTAACCTCAAGGTGTCAGGCAGACAACTTCCATCCTAATCTACTCCTCATTTGCCTGTTGTACACCGCGCGACAGAGTTAGGGTAACATGACATTGATGTTTTTTAGGCATTTTATACTCTTAAAAGGTACCGACCAACACAAAATGTTGCCGTCTAAGTTAATGCCTTAGGCTTAGAGAACGGTTAGAAGGGTACTGGAGGCTTAAACAAGAAAGGTTTTGGAGGGGTCTTGTCTTCCTCAGTTGAGCACATTCCACCAGAATAGTGCCTCTAATGACAGCGCTTACAGCTGTGAGAAAAAAAGAAGAAACGGAAAAATATTGGTGATTGTTTGTTCGTTCTATCTGTGACAAATCCTGTAAGGTCAAAGGCAAAAATAACATTGAACGGGCTCATGAGATCTCGTTGCATGAGTCCACCTGGTGTTATGAATAAGAATGTTTAGTACTGTCAGTAGGCTAAATGCCTTGCGTTCCACCTCAGCCTCTCGCTTAAACACACTCTACAAGCCATGGTCCAGCAGCGTTAAGACGAGAAATAAAGTGCGTCCTAATAGGCACTTTTCTTTCTGAGATTTTCCGCGAATGTAGGTAACATGAGAAGATGATGAAAGGTGAGCTTCAGCTTACTTTTTTTGGGGGTTCACCACAGGCGTATCTCAAGAAATACAGCTATGGGAACGTCCACCAGGACCAGCTGTTCGAAGAGCTGACTTTGGTCTGTTTCGTCTTCCCTGTTAACCATTGGCTATTACTTAATTCTCAATATATCAAAGTGGGAAGTGTAATTATACCGTTTATTTAGATCTAAAGGCGTTCGCGAGAAGCGCATTCTCCGCAAACATTTTTTATGGATGGAACAAGTGAGGTTCATAGTACGACTCGCGTTTTTTTTTTTGGACGTACGCCAGAAAGCTCAAAGATACTTGCAACCATACCGGCTTTATTACTGTGTAAAAATACCTCATAGCTTCCGCTTCGGAGGGACACTGGAGACAACTTGAACTTTTCTCAAATCAACCTTGTTTTGCGACTCAAAAAAAAAAAAAAATTCGGTAAACTTTTTTTTTTTTTAAAGATTAAATGAGGTTTTTGTTCATTTCTTTGACGAAAAAATGCGCTTTGAATAAGAAAAATAGCAAGAGCAGGAAAAACAAAATGCCTTCATACATACGCACTTTGGCTTGAGTGGCGACATCCCAATCATTTCTTCGCCAAATCGTGTTTTTTTTTTTTTTTTTTTACAGCGGAGTTGTTAAGGGTTAGTTTCCCCAGGATCGTGTCCACCAGCAAAGAAATGATGACTCCGAAATGTTGACACTACCGCCATCTATGAGCGACGGCAGCAACCAGACAACTGGTTTCCGCCGTCGCTCATAGTTGGCGGACACCTATCTTCGGAGGAAGAAGAGCGGGAACTGAACGAGCGGCGAAGTGCGCAGCAGCGCGAATGGTTCCGCAACGGCCTTGAGGCCGCTATTGCCTAAAGTTCCACTGCGTCGAGCGCTTCAGATTCCCTTGCGAAAGAAGAGCATATCGCTCGCCTAAAATTCCACCGCCGAGAATAGAAGCTACAGCTCCGCTGCGCTTCCTTCTTCACCAGAATGAATGGCTGGAAATTTATGTATATATATATAAATTATAATCGTTTGAAGAGCGCGCAATCCAATGTGACTCAGCTCGAGAGCATAGCCTTGGCTAATGCTCAGACGCCATTTGACCAGATAACTCACGCACTCACTACGCCAGCGCGTCACCCGCCGGTCCGCTTAGTGCAACAAAGAATGATGTCTTCACCCCAAGGAAAACAGCCACGTAAGCGCCCTAAGCAAGACGTTTGCCTCGTTTTCTTCGTCATCACTCCTAGAGGGAACAGTCATTTGACTGTGACGACGATGTAGAGTTACTGTTGTAAAACGTACCCTTGCAGCAGAGAACTCAAGCCAGCATGCGCAATGTATTTTGTTAAATGTTGCTTCGTTAAATAGGCAAGGAACAAAAAAAAAAAAAGAGAAACCTAGGTTTTTGGAAAAACAAACACAAATCAGAACCATGTTGCACGATTGATTGCTGGTCACGGTAATACATGTATTTATACTTGACCTGGCATCCGGCGGAGCGAGGAGGATTCTGAAACGCTGCGTGCAACGCCGCGACACCTCGCTTCAGGCTCAGCGCGGCCTGGTCGACGTTAAGCGAGTGATGCGCTACTGGACTAAGCACGCGGGCTACCCCCTGGTCACCGTCAACAGGCTCTACGGCAAGGCAAGCGCCGTGTTCAGTCAGCAAGACTACCTGACTCTGGCGAATGTCGGGGAAACGGCGGAGAAACTGCCCAAAAACAAATCGTACGTGAAACGCTGATGTCTAGATATATATCCTAAGAGATGGTCTTGTTTATTTATTTATTTGTTTAATTACAAGTACCTTCCCACAATCTCCCCGAGGGCATTACAAAAGGGGGGGGGGGGGGGGGGGGGGGTAACTGGTTAGTGACAGGCATAATTTGGCATTTTCGGTGATGGTGACGCTGTCACCGGGAAGGCCATTCTAGTCCAGTTTCAGGCAGAAATGAATTCCGGTATAAGCTGTGGACTCGTGTCGGGCGATCTTGCATGAGTCGACTAGTGTTGAAAAGACGCAGCTGAAATAGTCGAGGAGAGATATTTTTAAAGATGGAGAGTGATAGCCTTATGAAGAAAATGGGAAATGTCACGACGCAGAGAAACCTGAGATGGTTTATTACAGCGGAACTGTTAAGGGTCAGTTTCCCCAGGATCGTGTCCGCATATGACACAAAACTCTGGACAGCTACCGCAATCTATGAGCGACGGTGGCAACCAGGCAGCTGGTTGCCGCCGCTGGGTTTTGTCTGGGACAGTCCTTTCCTAAGGCTACGGAGCTCGTCAGTCTCGTCACGCCGAACTCGTCCCAAAAAACCACGCGGTGACGCCTTGTCTTTCTTTCGCTGTACCGTATTTTTTTTTTTTAATGCGAAATTATTAACTATCTCATGGAGTGGAGCCGGCGGCGTCTGTAACCGAAAAAAAAGAAAAAAAAAAACGCGATAGAAGTGTTTATTTTTCTATTGGCTCAGCTAAACAGCTCCCAGATAGCCATTGGCGGCCGCTTTACGAGAACGCGCGCTTGGCTGCCGTTCTCATTCAGGCGTTGCCGGAGGGGGGTGGGGGCCTGCGGCAGCTTCTGCTCCTCTCGGCGCCGAGGAACATGGCGGCGCCTGAGGCATCGATATCGGCGGCGTTCGCAATCTTGGCAGTAGCGAAACGTGGCTGTCCATGCCAGTACACCGAAAACGATCTAAGGGAGTGGAAGAGCGGCATTTATGCTTCCGCATTTACGACTCATAAGAAGTGCCTAAGTGTCTTTGGAATTTTTTTTCTCTTATTCTTTACCCAGTTTTCAGCACGACTCCCATCATCACAATTGGTCAGTTACATGCTCCAGTCAATGGCGAACGGGGTGGATGCCTTTTGTTTGCACAGAAGGACCATTAGAGGGTAATATCGGTCGATCTTTTTATTGACTCAACTTATTGAAGGAAAACCGATGATTTGTGTTTAGAGAGCATTGTGGGGCTGCTTGGATGCAGAAGCTTCTGAGAGCGCATAACGAGAGTTTCGGACTATTCTCAGCACGACTGCGGAAGAACACAGCTAAGTATTCAGGAGTCATGCTTATTAATTAAGGTGTTTTCTTTCGGTTAGGAAAGTTTATCTTTCCAGAGGTGCGTCGGCATTGTGTTTTTTAGCTTTCTACGTTTGGGTCGGCGGGGCCAGAGCGGCCGCGGTGCGGGAACGGTCCCCCCCTGCGGTCGTTAAGAAGCGTCTCGGGTTTCGGGAGTCTGCTCGGACCGGGACCGAAAGAGCCCGCGCTGGAAGATGCTTGTGCCTTATAATCGAATGTGCGTGTATGCAGAGGGTTTTGCCGCTTAGTGTAAAATTGTCCTTTTTGCCCGATACAATAATTTAGTGGTTGGCGCCAGTCAGGCTGGGAAAATAGCAGAGAACAACTCTACAAGGAGTTTGGGTTTGGTGGTTAGGACGCCAAAATGACAGCTCGCCGACCATTGGAGAACAGTGTACCACGTGTGAGTGGCGGAATTTGAAGAGATTGGTCGGTTCCTGAGGGGAAAGGAGGCCCCTACGGGCCTACAAAAGGAGCGCGGAGAGAATTTTGAGGGATTCGGACTTTGGATTTGATGGAGAGAAATTGGGGACGGGGGTCGAGACTTGAGACGAGGCGGGATGGTCTCCCAAGTTGGGACTTGTAACTAGAGTGTAAATAAATGCACATAGTTCTTTTCAAGCAGTGAGTCGACCCATCACTCAGCGACGTTCGTGCCACCACGCTCCAGATCATCGAAGCGGAACCTGCCTCCCACACCACCGGGAGGACTTTAACTAGCACCGTTAAGACTTATGGCTTCGTCCTTCATACTAAATCACCCTACAATGAGAGAGTGGCCTACGTCCGCATTTGTCACAACATGTTGACACATTGCAGGTCCGCGTCGTGGGAAATTCCGATCACCTACACCCCCAAGGCGGCGGCCAACTTTTCGAAGACGGCAGTCGTCCATTGGCTTTCCACCAATGAAGGTAGGCCCCTATAAACTACCGTGAAGGGCAGCTGTATACTCCATCTCACAAACATTTGCAAGGTGGCAATGTTGTGCGCGAGCAAGTGACATTGAAAGCAGCTTTCTATGCGCGAATTGACGTAGGAATGAAGTTTCCTGCTGAGCTAGACTCACGTGGCAGTCTCTGCACTGTAAAAGATATCCGGTCATAAAAAAACTCTTGGGGTTTCTTCGGCTTGTCTATATTTTGCTCACTATAAAAGTTCTTTTAAACACTCCCAGAAAGGTTCTTCGTGAAAAACCTATAAGAGGTTCTTGTAACCTCAATCTTTGATGCGAAATAGTTCTTCATCACCCGATAGACCGATCCCACCAAGCGTTCCACGCATGCGTGACGCCGCCATAACTGTAGTTCGTAGGAGGCAGATGCCAGGTCACGCGACAGCTCGTGCTGCCTCGTGGTCTGCTCGCGCAAACCTCCAGCAGGGTTGTCGCGCGTGCAGAAAGACTACAGCTCCCACGATGCATATCGGCAGCGGTGGCGTACTCAAACTAGCTGGTGAGATCGGTATATTACTTTTCTAGTGTGCCAGGGAGCGATAGTGCTTGAGACAAAACCGTTTTTTTACGAACTGAAGAGTTCTTGGGGCGTCAAAAGACTTTTCAATAACGGATTTTTTAGAGTGTGTCTGCATTGTAGAAATTCGATAGATTGTTTATAGAGTCACCGTATAACACTTAGCACATTAAAACATCTCTGCTCGTCAAAATTCTTCGAGATAATCGTAGACAGTAGAGCCACATAAACATTAAGCGCATTTGCGAAACAATGTAAAAACCCATCTATGGTTTCCATATATTGTCCTCGCCGCTTCTATAAGCATGTCACCTAATTGGACCACCACTCCACATCTTTCCTCCTGCAAGTGTAAAGGCCACGCATCCACTCGTAACACTCACTTGGGCCAAATAAATAAACAAAAAAAACAACAAAAAAACACTGACATAACACTTGTGTTAGATGCGTACTGAGAGCGCACCCCTAAAATATGGCGGATCTAATCATAGCAGTGGTTAGATACTTCGTTTGTGCCCTACCAAGGACTCCAGCCGAAACTCCAACCAGGAAGCTGGGCAGCAGTTCCCAGATGTAGCCCAGGTTCATGGGTTTATGAAGTGTCTAACTGGCGAGTGAATAGGTCTGGCGACAGCTTTGTCTGGGTACTGTAATAGGCGGAAAGAAAGCAAGTGTAGCTCCCATTTAGTTTTGAGTATATAATATAAAACGAACAGTGTATGACGGCCGTAAGCAACCGTAACCCCTAACTCATTATACAATTCCACGACAGCTATTGTAGCAACTACAAAGATAATCTGATGTCTTCTCTTAATTTGATATGTATTGCCTCACCTCAGCCTTTATAAAAAAAATATATATAATAATAATGACACTCGCGAACTGAGAAACAGAAAAACACAATGTCACTCTCTCCATACGCCTAATCAGGGTCCTTGATCTTCTTGCGTTATTTATCCGTGATGTTGTTCCTGCAGCGACATTTACAAACATACCAGACGATAACGAAGGCTGGCTGCTGGTGAATGTACGACGCGTCGGATACTTCAGAGTCAACTACGACAAAGAAAACTGGAAAAGTCTGTTGGCTCAGCTGAGGGACAATCCCCGAGTGAGTGAACTTTGAGTTGGTTACCTTTTTAAGTCGATTGGTACCGTAGCCACTAAAGCCTATGAATACGAAGGATAAATAGATTTTTCTCCTGCCGCGGTGACGTCCAGTTAGTCCTCGTGTCGAGCCATTCTTCGGAGATGGCTCGGCGTCAGGCTCGGGCCCAATTACAGTTCTAAGTTGGTGTCATCCTATAGACGTTTTCTGTTTCCTGTTCTTCTCAGTCGCGTGGGTTCCTATCTGGTATGCGGGACGAAAAATTATAAAACATTTCAACCTGGAATATCCGAGAAACTATAGGTAGGGCAAAACAAGAATGTATGACAATCACGCATTTTTCGTAGACCCCTTATAGCTGCGTGGAGAAAAAACAATGTTTAATTTACCGCATACCCAAAGCGACGACATTCAAGATGGCTGCGCCCTTGTGAAAAAGGTGTATACTCTTAGCGACTTATTAATGTGAAAGTCATATATATCTCAACGTTTAGTCGACTTTCAAAGTCCTTGAGCGGTAACACGACGGTGACCAAACCGAAAGGTACCAATGAAACGGCGCCAAAAGTGCGTCGTCAGAGAACGGGCTGTCTTCGGAGGTTCGCTATCACCGGGACCACAGCCGACGCCACGATCCGTGTCAGCCAATGAAACGGCGCCAAAAGTGCGTCGTCAAAGAGCGCGCTGCTTTTGGAGGTTCAATATTACGTTTACATCGGCGCTTGGACTTTTGCCTTCAATTCGTCTTAGGGATAACAGAAGAGACTCCGTGCAATTTTTCGCAGGCTCAATATTTCGCAATTTAGATAAAAGCTGAAGTTTTGGAGTGATTTGGGGGTTCCCATTTTCGCGACATGGTGGGATCTCAATATAGATTCCAATGTGTCTACATTTTACAGGAATTGTTCGCGGGACCTATTTTTTGAGAATTGTAGGCGATTCGCGAAATTCGCGAAAAGTAGGTCCTCGCGAAAATTAAGACGTTTGCAGTACTCCGTTTCACGATAACGTGGTGAACTGTGGAGGCTGCGGCCCCCGTCACCGAATAAGAGCATCTGTGCAATGCACGTGATAAAACT